AACATAAAATCCTTTTGGAACTTTCTTTCCAAAGCAAACTAGAACTATCACTAAATGTGATTAATACCCCCAGAAGACTGCTTCAGAAATGAGGATGTTACTAGTAACAGAATACCTTGTAAAAGAAATATAGAGTTATGGTTGTGGGCGATTAAAGATAGTTGTGGTTCTTGTATGTTGCATTTCCTTTCAATGTGGTTGGCCATTGATGAAGTTTTATTGAACTACTCTGCAATAAGTCCAGAAAGACAAGGAAAAGAAACAAAGGGCAATAACTCTACAAATACTGAAGATGGAGTTATAGTTCTTGTGCCCTGCATTTCCTCTTATTGTGCTTGACCATTGTATGAAGTTGTAATAAATTCCAACCAGTGCTCCGGACAAGGAAAAGTATCAAAGGGCAGTAACTCTGTATTTTGTCAGAATGGAGTTATGGCTCTTGTGCACTGCACTTCCTTTTAATGTCCTTGACAACTGTATGAAGTTGTATTGAATTCCAATCAGTAGTTTTCAAGTTAAGCTCTGGACAAGGAAAAGTAACAAAGGGCAATAACTGTAATTAGTCAAGATGGAGTTATGGTTCTTGTGCACTGCACTTCCTCTCAATGTGCTTGACCATTGTATGAAGTTATATTGAATTCCAACCATTAGTCCTTCAAGTTATGGTCCGGACAAAAGAATGCAATGGAAAAGTAACAAAGGACAATAACTCTGTAATTACTTTAGATAGAGTTATGGTTCTTGTGCACTGCACTTCCCCTTATTGTGTTTGACAATTGTATGAAGTTGTTTTTAATTCAAACCAGTAGTTTTCAAGTTATGCCCCGGACAAGGAAAAGTAACAACGGGCAATAACTCTGTAATTAGTCAAGATAGAGTTATGGTTCTTGTGCATTGCACTTCCTCTCAATGTGCTTGACCATTGTATGTAGTTATATTGAATTCCAACCATTAAGCTTCAAGTTATGCTCCAGACAAGGAAAATGCAACGGACGTCTGGACCGACCGACCAATCAACCACCGGGTGACTCCTATATACCCCCCAAAACTTCATTTTTGGGGGTATAAATACATTTAACAATACAACACAACTAAATATTGCCTTTCTAAACAGGTACTGAAATATTCTAAACTTTACTTGCGCTCAATGTATGATTAATTATACCTTGTCATCATCACTTTCAGCAACAAATGCTTGAGTGGCTGCAGTCAATATTGACTTCTTTCTAGGAGAATCTTCACTACATGTACTGTCAAATACAAATGAAACTACTTTTTCATTTACTCTACAATTACGTAATTTCCAATTGAATTTAGTTTCTAGTTTTTTAAATTTAAATATGATGCTTGTGTGACCAAATCATACAAGTCAAAATATTTGGCTCTTCCAAATCAATGTCACCAAAGTGAATTAAACAATTAATTAGCACCTTGATTAATGGTTTACCACAAGGAATGTTTAACATGATAGCAACACTGGCGATTGATCCAGACTTCTTTTCAGTATTTATAATTCATGACTCTACAAATGTAGCAAAAAAAGGAAGTACATATTATCATAAATTGTGTCAAAAAAGTGAGATTAAAATAAAATAAAATCTTATTTTAATTTGTTGTTTGTCTTTAACAAAAAATAATGTATAAAATTTTGGGATATGAGAATGGGGAAAATTTCAAATTAGCAACAAATGTGTTATTCTTATTTCTTAACTACCAGCATCTTTTTTATCAATATATATCAATTTTATCCAAGATACCCAATTAACACCAGCGGGGTGTATTTAATTGAGTGTCAACTTTTTACCGGTCACCTGCTGCTTACTATATTGCCCGAGGTGATAAAATACATGTACATGCGAGATGTAAAATTGTATAAGTACTTTAAAGATATTGTCCAGCATTTATAATAGCCATCAAATATCCTTCAATTAGCCACACAAATCGTTCAAAAATTGATAAACTGGATATTGACTTACCCAAAATTGTCACATATTTTCGCGACACCGATGATTTTGATATTTATTTAAAGGTGAAATAAGCTATGTTCTGTTTAAAAATCTTTACTACTATGGCAGAAAATTTGTATTACATTGGTGATGATGATATTTTTCAGTAAATTATTCAGAAACAAGAGCTGTCCGTAAGACAGCGCGCTCGACTTTTTTATTGCTTGCCAATAAAAAAAGTTTTTGCAGTAAAAGGCAATACAAGAATCTCTGTATTTTTAAAGTGAACTAGTTGTTTGATACCCTTGAATATTACAGCAATGTTTATATGACATAATTTATGGTAAAGTGAACAAGTGGATAGGAATGAATTTTTTTAGATTTTTTAAGTTTTTTAGTGCTTGCCTATAATACAAAACATTGACAGTTAAGGGCCATAATTCAAATAAAATCTTTGACAGAATTACCTTCTCCTGGACATGTTTGGGAATCATGATTGTAAACAAGTATTCCAACTTTCAAATTAATATCTCAAACAGTTCAGTCAAAAAGTGGACTGGTACTAAAAACTTAACCAAGATTCTAAGTCGATAAAAGGCCTTAATTTTTAAAACAAATCCTTGACAGAGTTACCTTCTCTTGCGTACAGATGGGGGTAATGATGTGAAATAGCATTAAAAGTTTCAAAGCAATATCTCAAAGGGTTAAGGCAATAAGTGGATTTTACCCATATTCAATGTATTTTCTAAGTCAAAAAGGGGCATAATTCTGTCAAAAACCTTGACAGAGTTATGTCCTCTTGTCTGTTGATGAAGGTCGTGATGGTAAACAAGTATGGTCAGTTTCAAAGCAATACCTCCAATGGTTTTGAAATAAAGTGAGGTGGTACAAAAAACTTAACCAAGCTCAATACACTTTCTAAGTCAAAAAAGGGCCATAATTCTGTCAAAAACCTTGACAGAGTTATGTACTCTTGTCTGTAGATGGAGGTTATGATGGTGAACAAGTATGGTAAGTTTCAAAGCCATACTTGTAATACTTCTGAAATAAAGTGGGGTGGTACGAAAAACTTAACCAAGGTGTGACGCCAACGCCGACGCTAACGCCGACGCCGGGGCGAGTAGGATAGCTCCCCTTTTCATAGAAAAGTCGAGCTAAAAAGGCTGCATTCTGTGAATGAGTTTGCAAACTTGTGTTATTTCTATAGGCTGATATGACCTAGATCTACTCCAGTTCTGTGTGAAATGTGGAAATTGACAGTGGTTATGATAAGCTGACAAAATTTGATTCGAACAAACAAAAAAAGTTGTTGATAACAGCATAATGTAAAGTTATAATGAATCTTTAATATTATTGTTGTACAGTAATTATACGAATTATAACGTTTTTATTCTGTTCTATAATAAAAATTAAAGTTGTGGTTCTATTTAAAAAAAGGTAGTTATCAATATACACAAATGTGTCAGTTTATTTGAGAATCCTTATAAAACTGAAAAAGTTTTATATGTAATGTTTATTTAATCAACTGCTTATGTTGTTAATCGCTAAATCGTGAATAGTCCGCTGAACTTTTGGCTATTATTTTTTTAAGTTGAAAATATTGGCTATTATTTTATTTGAGCCAGTGTGAGCCCTGATAGGGAAACATTCTATCCAACTTTTTCACTTGCTTTAAAAACAATAGTGTTAACAACATATAATACACTGGGAAAAAAAAACAAATTAATAGGCAAGCCTACTTATGTCAAAACTTTTATTTAAAAACTTGATATTTCGCTGATTGAGACTAATTTCCTTGCAGTACATACTGCCATAAGGATAATCATTATTCAAAAGATCTGACTAGTGTTTTAATTTTTACCTTCACAGAAGACTTTCACCTTAAGCCATGACAGTGGTATGCTATCTGCATATTTCCTTGTAGCTAAATTGATAGATTCAGAGTTGAAGGATTTACAGGGCGACATGAAATTGTCTGACATTTTACCTTCAAGTGTGACATTGATCAGCCACAGAAACAGCCTGTAATCTGCTCATCGCTTGATAAGTTAATTATTTAGCCAAGTTTGAAATTCATTCAAGAGGTATAAGAACTAAAGAGCTCTGAAATTTGACCTTAAAAAGCATAAGCGAAGGTTCTGCACAACTCCTTCTTAAAGTGAACATTTGGGCCTAATTTGAAGTAAATCCTTGAAAGGGTAAATGAATTGTAGAGCAAACACAAAATTATCCGACATTTGACCTTCAATTTTGTCCTTCATCTGACCTGACAAGAGTTGCGTCATGGTTTCTACACATCTACTAGTTAAGGTTAATATTTGAAGCAAGTCTGTAGAAAACTAGAGGATGCTTTTGTAAAAAAGCGCATGTCTCCCCCACTGCTGAGAATAACTGTGAATGGAAACAGGAATGGAAATGGAGATAAGATAATGTAAATACCCGGTAGTCACTTCAATGAAGGCTGTCTATGGATGGTTTTCTATTGTTAAGGTTGTATGAGAAGATGCTTCCTAAACTGTTTTGTTTTTAACCAGGTATTCAATTTTGAAAATCCTGGTTATTCAATCAGCGTTATGGCAGGCGGGCGTCAAACGAAAATTGCACTTGATGGTCATATCATATAATAGTTTCACAAATGAAATTAAATGAAATTGTGGTCTGCTCCATTAATTCTTCAAACCTTTAAAGGATTTTTGATGATACTTGAAACAAACGTTCATATTGTCAGATTTTTTTACACTATTGAAAGACAACTCAAATTACAATGTATGTAAAAATCATGATAACTGTAGTGTGTTGGGATGACTCCACTCGTTTTCACAATGAAGCCTCTCTGGTAGATACTTGAAACAAAAATTCACCACATCCAGAGAACGTGTAGAGTACATGTTTCGTATGGCTGGTTCCAAGGTCAAGGTCTACTTGACACTTGAATGTCATATCATATATAGTTTCACAAACGAAATTAAAGAAATTGTGTCTGCTCCATAAACTCTTCAACCCTTTGAAGGATTTTGATGATACTTGAAACAAACGTTCATATTGTCAGATTTTTTACACTATTAAAAGACAACTCAAATTTCCAATGTATGTCAAATCATGATAACTGTAGTGTGTTGGGATGACTCCACTCGTTTTCACAATCAAGGCTCTCTGCTGGTAGATATGGTCAATAAGTGTGTTTGTGTGCTGTGTAGTAGCCTTGGTTTATTATTTGTTTAAAGCGATGTCGTAACATAGTGTGGGTCAATGGATTTCTAAATATTGAATGAGGTCAATGTTGAAGTTTCCTAGAACTATGCAGTTTTCTGTTGGTGAATTTTCCAAGACAAGGGTAAGCTTTTGACAGGAACAAGTTAATCGGCAATGACGGAGGTTATATACAAGGTTGATTAATAAGACCAATCATCCTATGAAGTTTGAGGGTTGTAGGTCAAAAGGAAACTCTAGTTATCATCCGGAAATAGAAATTGACCACGGTCACTGTGACCTTGACCTTTGACCTACTGACCCAAAAACAATAGGGATCATCTGCTTTATAAGACCAATCATCCTATGAAGTTTGAGGGCTGTAGGTCAAAGGAACTCTAGTTATCATCCGGGAAACGAGAAATTGACCAACGGTCACCTGTGACCTTGACCTTTGAACTACTGACCCCAAAAACAATAGGGATCATCTGCTCAATAAGACCAAATCATCCTATGAAGTTTGAGGTCTGTAGGTCTAAAGGAACTCCTAGTTATTCATCCGGAAACGAAGAAATTGACCAACGGTCAGTGTGACCTTGACCTTTGACCTACTGACCCCAAAAACAATAGGGATCATCAGCTCTATTAAGACCAATCATCCTATGAAGTTTGAGGGCTGTAGGTCAAAAGGAACTTCTAGTTATCATCCGGAAACGAGAAATTGACCAACGGTCACTGTGACCTTGACCTTTGAACTACTGACCCCAAAAACAATAGGGATCATCTGCTCAATAAGACCATTCATCCTATGAAGTTTGAGAGCTGTAGGTCAAAAGGAACTCTAGTTATCGTCCGGAAACGAAGAATGGACGGACTGACGGACTGACGGACGGACGGACTGACAGGGCAAAAACAATATGTCTCCCCCCGAGGTGGGGGAGACATAATTCTTCAAGGATAATAGGATTTATAGAGTGGACACAGTGCAGACAGATGGACTGACTGACGCTACAGTGATTCCAGTATAGGCCCCTCCACATAATGTGGTGGTGATACAATAAGATGCTGGTAACCAAAAGTGATCTCTCTCAATTCTTACCTAACATCATAATCATTATCAAGGTAGGCTTGAGTTGAAGCAGCCAGGATAGAACTCTTGTTTCTCACATTATCTTCATCATCTAAAACATAAACAACTTATAAGGTTAAATATCAAAACAATAGTATGCTTTGGGAAACAGAACTATCCTTCTACTATACCATATTTGATAAGTCTTCAATGAAAACTAAAAAGTGATTTTAGCATTTTCTTTCGATAAAAACCCTAAAATAAATAGGTCTTAACAAATAATATTAAGATCTGTAAGCATTAATCAACATTGTCATTATGGTATCTTGGATTTAAAGTATATTTAAGAATGGCTAATGTTAACACCTACCTGTGGTGACATCACTTTCACAAACATAAGCTTGAGTGGCAGCACCCATCATCCGTGATTTTACCGTTTCATCCTCATCGTCATCATCGTCATCTTGGCTGTCTATTCAAAATATAACAAATGAGCCGCGTCATGACAAAACCAACATAATGGGTTTACAGACCCTATAACAAGTAAAGAAACTGATAGCTAACAGCATGGATCCTGATCAGACTGCGCGGATGAGCAGGCTGGTCTGGATCCATGCTGGTCGCAAACCCATTATGTTGGTTTTGTCATGACGTTGCTCAAATGCTTTGTATGAAAAAGAAAATTCTACCAATAGCTTATTAAGCTTGAACTTTAAAAGCAAATAAAATAGTTACTCAATTCTACACAAAAGTAGCCTATCTTTTGATGAAATAATTTAATATCAAATACAAGAATGTCCTTAATTAATGATAAATAACCTATGAGTTAACTTACCTGCAACAAGAGCCATGGACCGTGGTGGTTTGGTAGGACTTTCACTATCTGAATCAGATTCTGGTACCACTAAATCCTCTGTGAAGCCTGAAACATATTAAATATCATTCTAGTACCTAAATCTGCTTAATTTAACTGATAGATTTGCTTTGCTTTAAGATAAGGACAATTCATTCAAAGTTGAAATGATTTTTTCCATCAATATACTAAAGCTGAGTTACCAACAGTATCAAGCAAGGTCACACTTTATGGTCACCCAGGCTCTATACTAATGGCAATGGCTAATTGTTACAACAGGTAAACTGTTTACTAGCTTAAACTCTGATTTAAACTAAATGCATGTGCATGGCATCTTATTAATTTAACTGTAGGCATTCTAACAAATCATATCAAATACAATAAAAGAACAAAAATATTGACTTTAAAAAAACGGATCAGACTATTTGCAAATGGAAATGAGTGATTAATAATAAAATGTTTTCCCTTGACCAGAAGTATGTGAGTACTTTCAAATATTTTCACTAGATAACATTAAAATAACAATGGTCATTTACAATACTTACGTTTAGTTTTTGGTGCTGCAGGCGTGTCTTTGACTGTTATATTTTGAGCTGAAATGTACTGGAAGCATAGTAATAGGTCTACATTTTTACCACAAAAGATTAAGCTATTTACATATTGACCATAAAAATATATTAACAATGTCCAGCATTGTTTCCGAGAATAAATACATGATTTTCATTAATCTACAAGTGAACATCTACATCTGGAAAAATTCATCTGCACTAAAACAAATTCTTGCATTAAGAAAGTACATATTAATGTATAAAGGCAGTAACATACATTAACAAAGTGTACAGTCATTGGAGAGCTCTAGATAAGCTTTATCACAAAATAAATCATCAATATGCTGAATATTATGACAACATCAAATCCCTAGATTTCTCCTTAATGTTTATTAAACATATAATATACAGACTAACCTAATGTAGAGTTTCCATTATGTGTTCTTGTTGTGTTCCCTGCAAAAGGCTGAAATAGATAAAACATTTACAAATATTTATAGAATTTGTGTCAAGTTTCATGGCTCCGAGATTTAAGTGCTTAAATGAAAATATTACCATACAAATCTTTTGTCATAAAAGATAAATTTTCTTTTGGATTTATCCCTTTTCTTTTTTTTTTTTTTGAATTTCTTTGAAAAATTGCAAAAAAAAAGTAAAGACACATACATTAAGATCCATCACATGTATCTAATTTTGACTTTAAATCAGGCAAATGAAAGTTTAAAATTTAAAGAATTTTGCAAGGATGAATATCAAGAATGAAATATTAACTGCTGTTATTTCCTGTTTCACATGCATTGTGTAAAAAAATGCAATTTGACACAAGAAAAGCATATTCTTATTGTTACATACCACTGATTAGCCTTGATTTGATGAAAATTGCATGGGATTTTGTGTAAAATAGGCATTTATAAAGAAAGAAAATTTTACTTGAGTAATTATATATAAAGCAATAGCTAACACATAGTTATGCATCTAAAAAACAAAATTACTGACTACAGTTCAATTTCCAATTTTTTGTTACATTTACCTCTCAAATCCAGGTGACCTTCAGTATATTTAACAAATCTGGACAAGGCTCTGAACCATTGACCACCGTGATTCAGCAATTTTGTAACAAAAACCCTTAACATAGACAACCGACAGTTCTTAGTGCTAAGGAAAGCAGAACACATCTGTTATTTATCATAAACTTCTATACCTGGGTTGGTTCTAAAATATCACTGCTTGCATCACTAGCGTAATCATCATCATCAAGAGGCTTGCCTTCAGTCTTCTCAGCAGCGTCTGTAGAATTATCAAGCACCTCATCACCTGGAGCAGTTTGAAACATTGATTCAGAACCAGTCTCATCTCCATCATCATCAGCTGCCTGGAAAATGATCAAAATACAAACATTAAAATGTATGTAGTGAGGACTTTTTTGCAAGAAATATAACATAATAAATTGAAATATATATGCTGGTTTTTTTTATTGCATTTGAAATCACAAATGCCCGGCAGAAATCATCTTGGATAACAGTTGAAATTAATCTAGAGGACATCATTTGCTATATTTATGTAACTGATATTATATAGCACATTAGCTAAATTTGAAATGCCTATTTAATGTAAACCATTTTAATGTAAACAATCTGAAACATAGCATGGGGCAACCAACTAACAATCTTTGAAAAGGTTTCAGTGAAAAATTGATGGGTATACTATATTTTGAATGCCATTAAAATTACATGAATTCATATTTCTGAAATAAACTCCATCTGTGTGTCAACTACAAATTACATATCCTTTACATTAAATAACAGGTGAATCTGAGCAGATAAATATCACATATAAATACATGTATAACTAAAAGACTAATATACGTCAACACTTTCATAGAGCAACAATTATCTCAGGAAAATAACAAATAACAAAAATTTTATTTTGCATAAAGCATACTGCAATGCTTATAACAACTATAAATCATAAAATATACAATGTTTGGGGTCTGACATGGATTTTACAGCAGCCAAAAGATGACTTATGGAAAAGTATGTTCATTATTTTTTATTTTAGCACTAGTATGTACAAGTTTTTTGTGTTTCAAAATAAAGATACTCTTGAAAGTATAACTCATAAATTCTTAATAGAAACAAAGAAACAAATTTACAATAACAGACATTTCTAGAACAAAGCAAAGGAATACAATAAGTACACAGTACACAGACATCCGTGGTTATATTTTACATTAACATTTACCTGAACACCAATTTTGTATTCACATTCCACATCACCAAATATAAGTTGGTCATTATGCTTAAGCTCATATCTTACAGATGCTGCCAAAAAATGCTGAAAATTAATTCAAACAAAAATCTTTTATCATTTTTTATACAACAAGTTAGTCATGCAAAGAAGTTTTTACATAAAAAAATAAACTGACACGCTTTACAGTTATTGTGTAGTTAGTTTCCAGCTTGATAATCCTACATTCAGTCAAGTTTAAAACAAGGTCCACTAAGCTACTTTTATACTATGAGTTCAATTTCTAAGCTTTAAGTTCTGTATTTTCAGACATATAGATTTAAATGTATTTTCTTTTTTATGTTTTACTATGTATTCTAAGTGACCCTAAGGTTTGGGGAGATATTTAAACCAGGGGGGTATACAATACTGCATGCAATATGAAATGCTGCATGCCAAATATCTTAATTATAGGCTGAATAGTTTAACACAAGAGCAATCAGTAATCACATGTGTCGCCTCATGATGGCCAATTTCATGTTGGGACAAATTTTGTGACAGACGGACAGACAGACGGACAGTGCACAACTAGACTAACCACTTTGTACTGATCATTCCTGTAAAGTTTGGATAAAATTGCACCAGTAGTTTATGAGGAGTAGTCTGGACAAGCTTTTGCGTATCTGGCAACACACAGAAAAAAACACCTTTTTATCAAAGGACCATAACTCGGCCAAAAATCATTCAACCGGAAAACCCGTGCAATATGCCCAAGGACTTGAGCTACAGATCAATCCTGTAAAGTTTCATTGAAATTGCATAAGTGGTATAAGAGAAGTAGTCTGGACAAACTTTAAAAATAAAAATTATTAAAGGGCCATAAGTCAAACAAAAATCATTGAACCGGAAAATGCTGACAAAATGCACAACTAGACTTGGTACTGATCATTCCTGTAAAGTTTGGATGAAATTGCACTAGTAGTTTATGAGGAGTAGTCCGGACAAGCTTTTGTGTATCTGGCAACACACAGAAAAAGAAACCTTTATATCAAAGGGCCATAACTCGGCCAAAAATCATTCAACCGGAAAACCCGTGCAATATGCGCAAGGACTTGAGCTACAGATCAATCCTGTAAAGTTTCACTGAAATTGCATTAGTGGTATAAGAGAAGTAGTCCGGACAAACTTTAAAATTAAAAATTATTAAAGGGCCATAACTCTGACAAAAATCATTGAACCGGAAAATCCTGACAATATGCACAACTAGACTTGGTACTGATCATTCCTGTAAAGTTTGGATGAAATTGCACCAGTAGTTTATGAGGAGTAGTCTGGACAAGTTCTGTGACGGACGGACGGACGGACAGACAGACGGACAGACAGACGACGGAGAAGTGATCCCTATATGTCGCCACTCCGTAGAGGCGACACAAGGCGACACAACAAGAGGATTTATAATATGTTCAATGAGGGCCATCTAAGGATCACTCCTATGAAGTTTGGTCAAAATCTAGCATGTGCTTCAGCAGAAAAAAACATCTTGTGAATAATGACACACCATAAAAGATGCAAGGCAGCTATATGCTATCACGTAAGTTCACCTGTAAATAACCTATGAACACTTTGTGATCATGTGAGATAAAAATGTACTTACATTGTTTCTTCTTGTCCTATTTCTGCTACCTTTATCATAGATGAAATGCGAGTCTCCTTTTACTTCAATACATGCATGCTCTCTTGATAGTGGCTGGTAAAATAATAAAATATTCATTTGTAAAATATTGATCAAATTTAACATGCATGTTAAAAGCATCTCTCAAAAGAAACCAAATAAAGACTTTAAATTATGTTAGTTGAAAACTCTTAATATAGAACGCTTTGACTGAAATTTTTTTAAACATAAGTTTAAAATAAAATATAAAGTTACAAAAGGAAAAGCAAAAGAATTTTCATAGATTCATTAATTTCACTTCTTATATAAAAATTGAAATGATTTACACATACCTTTAATGGTATAGAAATTTTACATTCCTCACCTCGTCCAATAACATTGTCACCTAGAAATAAGTACTTTTCATAAGTAAATAACTCATAATGTATTGAAAAATTCATTTGACCTCCAAGAACAGAACAACTTTTTCCTTATTTTTTTTTCTATTTCTAACTAAACTGAAGAAGTAGTACAGTTCACAACTTAACAAGACTCATAAATTGCATACAAAATGTAATAGTAACCAACTAACTGCTATTCCATAATTCGCTACAATTCAAACTGCAAATTTTACCTTCAAAGACTGGGTACTGCTTTCCAGGAAACCCTCGTTGACATGCCACATACAAATAACCAACCTGAAATATATAATCAGAATATATTAAAACAATGCTGAAATATAATTATAACTGTAAATATTAATTAAATAGCAGCAAAAATCACATTTGTAACTAAACAATTCATATAAATTCTAATCTTTCTTCATTAATGGTAGCGCTATTATACAATCAAGGTTATCTTCGGTTGTGAAAAATAAAAAAGAATACAACAACTATTAAGTAGTGTGACTGTATAATAAATCTTCAATGAATGACTTACTGGAGTATTTTCAGACTGTTCATCATCTGTAACATCATCATCATAGTCCCCAAAGTCCAGAGCTTGTGTGGCCTCTATGCCACTTTCATCCATCTTTCAACCTAACATAAATCATTTTATAATATATTAATCATGCACATATTCAGGGTTTTACTTTTTTCCCAGTATTTTGGGAACATACCCGTACCCTCAGGATTGGGAATTATAGCAGTGTTTTGCTAACAAATGGGAAAACAATATTTGTCTATAATTTTAAAAATTTCCAATAATGTTAAATGAAAGACAAAGATGCAATGATATTATATCAACACAAATTATCATAAGCACATAGCAGTCTTAGAATTGCAAACACACAGGGGTCTACTGTTGATATTTTAGATCCGTTTATTAAGAAAAAGCCACATATTTTAAACTTGTGTTGCAAGAGTTGCTCCCCTTTTCTACCGGAAAGAAAACAATGCCACACAACAGTAAATCTTACAGGAAAAAAGTAAAACTTTCTACAGTGAACAGATGCTCTTTTTTTCTTTTCTCCTCAGTGTGAAAAATTCCCCCTCCTACTGCATTTTTACAGGTTGGTCTTTTTACCCCAAGATACCCCAAGACTACTCTGGGACCGAAAGATACACATTTTTAGTCCCAGGACTACCTAAAGACACCCCAAGAAACTTATGTAATATTGTGTAAATTGGGAAAGTTTTATTATATATGATGACTGATTATTTACTTGTCATCTTGTTACAGTCCAATACATCAAATATTGTTAATTATGTATGGACTTTTTTTCATCACTAAAATATTTATTGATATGCTCTTTATAAAAAAAAGATAATATTTTTATTAAAATCAACTTTACTGAAACAATAAGACTAAGTTAATCTAATGAAATGTGGGGCAGATAAAATTAAAAAAATCAATATTATGAAACAGAATATGATTGATTTATCATGGTAATAATCAGGCATCAAAAATGCGTCACTCATTAAATGACATTGTCGCAGAATTAAACTTGCACTACACCAAAATCCAGCAACCTTGGCAATATTTCATTGTTGTAAAATATTTGCACAAAAAAGAATATATTCATAATCTTACATTAAAAAATACAGGGAAATAAATGAAGGGAGATAATTCAATGTGTACATGTGAAATCACAGTTACCGCCTGTAAACAATGAAAAATTAAGACAGTATTTACATGTAGGTAAAAGTGTCTTGGTCTGGTTTTGGGGTGTCTTGGCATAGTCTAGGGGTAGTCTCTGGATGTCTTGGGGTAGTCTTGGGGTAAATAGACCAATCACATTTTTCCCCCTCCAACAGGCACGACCCCCTTCCACCAAAAAAACAAGAGGGCCATGATGGCCCTGAAATGGCTCACCTGTATATAGGCCCCCGGGGCGGGGCCAATTTTAACCCAGGGGCTTTTATTTAAACAAACTTGGTAGACACCCATTTGAAGAATGTTTCATGATAAATATCTAAGCTGTACCTCTAAGAAGAGATTTTATGTTTTTACTATAAACATATAGGGAAAATCAATGACCACCCCCTCTGGGCAGGGCCAATTTTTTCCCCAGGGCTTTTATTTGAACAAACTTGGTAGACACTCACTAGAAGATAATTCATGCTTAATATCTTAACTCTAGCTCTTTGGGTTTTTTAACAGAAGATTTTTTAAGTTTTTACTATATTCATATTAGGAAAATCCGGGACCAATTTTAATCCCAGGGCCCTTATTTGAACAAAAATGGTAGACACCCATTAGAAGATATTTCATGCTAAATATCTCAGCTCTAACTCTAAAGGTTTTTAAAAGAAGGTTTTTTAAGTTTTTACTTTGAACATAAAGGGAAAATCAATGACCCCCTGGGGTGGGGTCAATTTTTCCCCAGGGCTTTTATTTGAACAAACTTGGTAGTCACCCACTAGAAGATGTTTCATGCTTAATAGCTAAGCTCTAGCTATTTGGGTTTTTTTAAAAGAAGATTTTTTAAGTTTTTACTATATACAAAAAAGAAAATCAATGACCCCCTGGGCGGGGCCAATTTTGACCCCAGGGCATTTATTTGAACAAACTTGGTAGACACGGTTCATGCCAAATATTTAAGGTCTAGCTCTTACGGTTTTCTAAAAGAAGATATTTTAAGTTTTTTCTTTCAGTTGCCATGGCAACCAGAGTTCTGCTTGGAATTAAATTCTTTGAACAATTTTTAAAGTTGACTACCAAAGGAACATTCCTGTGAAGTTTGGATGAAATTGGCTTAGTGGTTTATGAGGAGATGTCTTTTAAAGTAAAAGTTTACGGACGGACAGATGCCGGACGAAAAGCGATCACAAAAGCTTTGTGACAGGTGAGCTAAAAAACACTAGATATATTGATATATCATCGATATATATATATACCCAGTGATTTTCCTACTTATATAACAGACTCCGAAAAAAGGCCTCTTCCCAATTGAAATTTTCTTTAAAATCATGCAGTTTTCCCAAAAATCTCAACTTAAACCAGCTTTTTTACTTCCCAAATCAGCAATTTTAGCGACAAGTTTTCCCAAAATCAAAAGGCTAAGGCCTCTTCCCAATTTAGTGAGAAAAATCACTGATACCCTTAGACATATAGATACAAAATACTGAAAAAATTCTATCAGTGACATCCCTAGATTTATCTGTTTAGTTTGTGAACAGTAAATCTGGTAAAGAGTCAACTCAGCCCTATACCAACTCGGCATGGTTCAAGTCGGCACAGGTCAACTCGGCCCCCTATCAAAAACCAATTAGGATATAGATTGTTTAGTTTATAAACATTTAAGAAGTACATTACTATAAAAGTATTCAGACCTATGATCACTAACAAACAGAAATTTAAAAAGGTGGCAGTGTACATACGTGTACGTATTATTTGAAATTATCTTTATTAAGAAGAGATATCAAGACAATAAATGTTACATATTGATCTTTAAACTGAATTTTTATGACAATAAATGTAATTATATTTAACACTGTTCTTAAACACCACCAATGCTGTTTGAACGATATATTTTACAAAAAAAATCTGAAGTAAGCAAAACATGCGTATAAATTTGAAATTCTTCCCATCTCTACAAATTCACATGTACAAATTGGGGGCAGCACGAAATACCCAAATATACCCTAAATATACCCAAATATTGCCCAATTATACTAAAAATAAATGTTTTATACTAAAAAAGTGCTGTTTTAATCATGAATACAATATACACTTTCACTAAGATATAATTAAACATACCCAAATATACATTTTCCTATCATTGTGTTTTGAACCAAAATACATTGTGTACAGTACAGTATATGTACTCCATTAAAGCTATTATTTTTTTTTTTAAATAACATGGACACTTGTATATGATATGAAATTTCAGCAAAATTTCATCTTAAAAATGTAAGTGTAGTCAACAAATATCATGTGCTTGATTTAAAATTGCAAGTACAGTCATAAAGAACCTATATAGTAGAATGTCAAAACTTTATTTTCTTAAAACTTCTAAACTGTCCATTTCAACGGAATGAATGAAAGTTATAGCAGGCTAAGTCATATTATCTTATAAATATTTATTTATTTCTCATTATAATCTATATTTTATACAAACAAAAATAAATATTGCTATATTTGGGTATATTTGGGTATTTTGTGCAGCCGCAAATTGGTACTTTCATCAATAAAACTTTTCAATAACCATGAGTAGAGGTTTGTAACTGAAAATATTTAAACAATGAAAGTTATGACGAAAACATATAAAACGTAATAAAAGTAATCATTACCAGTAATATATAATAATGGCCCGATTCCACACGTGCCGAGGTGGAAGAGGACCGAGCTGACTCTGGGCTAGTCCTAATTATAAGACCTATACCTAACCTATTTCATATTTATCATTCATTAATCTGATATTTTACATTTTTCATTTTCCATGTTACGTTAGGTCTTAACAGATCTTTGCAAAATCGTGTAGCAAAAAAAATGACATTAGACATCGATTTAGATCTAATGAATTTAAACAATTAAAACAGCATGTATTTACATTAATTTTGACTTATTCATGAACAAAACTAAAAAATGAATACCTTTTAACAAAATAATTGAACTGTCACGTCCGAAAAGTCATGATTAAATCCTCTCATTTAATTTAATTCCTTGTACAGCCGATATACAAACGGCCGCCATACAGTGCGCGAAATCTGATTGGCTAATTCATATGCAAGCGTTTAAATGAGTCAGAACAATATAACGGAATATTTTTTCAACGAAATAATTGCCCATGCATCGCCAGTGTGTTCGAATATATTTTTCCGTTCAAAAAATTGGAATCAATCTGTAAAATGCTTTACTTAACCAGTGTAATAGGACCGTATTTTGATAAAATATTTAGTTGTCAATTTCATACCATTCATTTGTCGTCCATTTTGGCTTCTTTCCCTAATGTTAATCTGTTAAAGTCCTCTTGATTGGCTCTTTCAATTTAGATTTACATTTTTATTGGTCCACTTGATTAATATAATTCGATTAGTTCAGAACTTGTTATGAGTAATTTTGACCAATCAATCTTATAGTTAAGCATTGTCATGACTACCAAAAGTGTATAAATACCGGGTGAATTTCTATATATCTTGTCTTGGGAACTGGCCGACAGGTCAGTTCACTTCAAAGCTTTAGAGCTTTGGCACTCTTTCAAAACTTAATAGTTTTGACTCTCTTTGAAATCTATATGATTTGAGAATTTAGCCTAAACTTATTAATAAATACTTAGAAATTCTTTTTAAATAAATAACTCGTTGTTGGTAGATTCTGCTTAAATATATAGCCTTATTCATACTTTTGGTAAATAAATTATACAATTGTCGTTTAAATAAGTCTATGATTATCGTTTGAATAAATCTCGTAATGTTAAATTTATAAAGTCTTGTGTTATACTTTTTTTAATAAGAGTAAATTAAAGGTAGCGTCCTACACCACCATCCTAGCCACTGGTTGGCAATTAAGAGTTCAGAGAACCTGGGTAAAGTGCCGTTTAAAGATATATTTGTGATCACGTGTCGTCTGTATTGTAATTTGGCCATTTATATTTTAAGTCTGTCCAGAGCGCCACTGAGTGTTGGGCTCGAATTAGCTTGAACCACTGATAATAAACCGGCACTATTACACCAGTATGGCCGATGAGCGAAATAGACTGCTATTTACATTTTATTTTTAATTGATAAGTGCATTGTTTGAAAGTTTTTGTTAATGATAGACCATGCAATTGAAAGAACAGAAGATAAGCTTTTGAATTAAGCTTGAAAGGCAAGTGAACAGACCTTTTTTCATTTTTTCAAAATGCTACGCGTTTATGAGCAATAACTATTAGACGTCAGGCTTGACCAACATAAAACTATAACAAGCCTGCAACGTCTAATCTATTGGACTAACTCTGGGCCAAGTACGCTTTATTTGCCGAGCTGACCCTGATTCGTAATATCTCTCTGACAAAAGTGTTGATTGCCCCTTGATTGAATTGGCAACAATTAAACAGATTACCCTTGCTGATATAGTTAAAAAATATTAAAATATCAGAATCTAGAGCTGTTTCCAATTTTGCTGGAGTCATATCTAAATCGCGAAATTATATGACAATAGAATTTTCAACATTCATTTACGTTTTCTAACAAATTGATGTGGACGCAATTTCAACCTTATAACAATGTGATACTGTTTAATATACGCATTCATTTTCTTTCGTCAATAACAAAAAAATGTAAATAATACTCACTCAGCGAATTATTTGTCGTCCTTGAACTTCGCGCAAAAATCTTCTGTGAGCATGCGCAGTTCGATACTTTGGTTTCCGAACCTTCTGAATATCCTTAGCGCTGGATTTGGGAACCAATCAATCAAAATAAGGCAAAGCAGGACAAATAATAATTTTTATATTTTCGTTGGAAATGGGCTGCATTTTCGAAGAAATAAAGAAAGGAGATGGTAATTCTTTTTAAACATAGTACATGTATATGCACAGCCATGTATCATACATCTAATTTGCTGCACATCTCCAATCAGTCGGATTTCATGCAAAGGGAATGAATGGTGAAAACAAAAAATTAATCTGCATTTTATTGTTAGATCATAATGGCCTAGTCAAAATATTTTAACCTACGGGATTTTTAGATAATTTTTGACATGGTCAAAATCCCAAAGCAGGGCGTAGCTCTGATCGCGTTGATATTTCGACTAATAATGGCCATGCAGGCTCATGTTATGAAAAGTGTTTTACTTTAATTGTTTCATAAGCATCTGTAATGAAAGCAGTCTGCACATATGCCCATAATTCTTTAGAACCTGGTCAACACTGACTTGGATACTAATGATCAATTAAAACTTTTATTTTCAGATATTTTTCAATCCATCTATCTACTTTACCATTAATGTCATTCCCTTTGCGGAGAAGTAGATACTATGTCTGCACGTTGAAATTGCAGGAAAGTTAAAAAGAGTTGTTTATAATTATAAAAAGGATAAAAGTATAAAAAAGGGATATTGAAAATGTTAAAAACATGCAGGCTGGAAAAAAGGGTGAGACAGTGGGAGTGAGGGCAAATGAAGGGTGTACATGGTTCCAGAGGTATACAATCCTGGGAAAGAATGAGAATTTATAATAGTTTGAAGTTGCTGTGAATAACCTATAACAGTTAACTCAGGGGATGGTCATGGCTGGATGTTCAGACGAGGGGTGTCACATATTCTTCGATGGGGTTAGAAACCAGACCATAGTGAATCTTGAAGAAAAGGGATAGCCTAGCATTTATACATCTGAGTTCTTATCTACAAAGCTTAAGGGAGTGAACACTAGAGGTCTGACCAATCTAGCTTGCTCCATTGGGCTGCTCTTCTTTTGGACATTTTCAATTTGATCTATTTGCATTTTGGTGTGGGGAGACCACACCTCGGAACCATATTTTGAGCTGAGGTCTGACTAATGTCTGGTAAGCAACCAATCTGATTAAAATTAACTCTAAATAACAATCTGCTTTTAGATCTGACCGCGACCAAATACAAAATCATTTCTGTTTACCTTTCACACAGCCAATCATTGCCAAGCTTTCATAATTTTGAATGTGATCTAGTTTCTAAATTTAACCCTGGGTAAACCAATACTTAGTATGTAATTTTCACAATTATGAGAACAAACATGGCATTGTCCATATACAGTCTAACTTGCCCATGCGACCACATGTATTAAGCAACTTTTGTCTTAAACTACCACTTTAAATTTTTTTAATGTATTAAGCGACTTTTGCTCAACGCAACCAGCGACCGCTAATTAATCACCTAATTGAGAGCAATCATTTCATTAAACGACCACTTTTACCTATCAAGTAATTGTGTTTTTAGAGAACGCCGCCTCGTAATGTCACAAGTGTCAACAATCAAAACACAACAAATAAATGTGTGAAAAACTCTATTTCCCAAACCGTTTTAGCTTAAGCAAATGAAGTATACGTGTGACGTGTATTATCCAATAATATTGATTAAGCAATGCAACGCTCCGCCCCTACTGATGTGGTGTATACGCTTCGCTTGTTGACATTTAGACTGCATTGAATTGACCCTGAACTTGATTAAGTTTATTTCAAATGAAAAATGCACAACAGAAAAACATCTTCACTTATAGGGTTTTTGTGTTGGAGACAAGGAAAAACAACGGAGAAGTTAAAAAATTCTGGAAAAAATGTCAAACATGTACTTAATGAATCAAAACTGTTTTGTCAAAAAAATAACGGAAAGTTATTTTTACATTGGCATCCATTTAGATTATCGAGCGTACTAATTATTCAACATTTGTATAAAAATGAAGTTGTTAAACATTCCACCGCATAAGTAAGATGTCATTTGTAAATTTTGACTTTTATGTTATGCTTTGTCTTAAGAGACCGTTTCATTAAGCCACCGTTTTTGGTGTTTCCCTTGCATGGTCGCTTAATACAAGTTTGACTGTAGCTGACAGGTGAACTGGCAAAACAACCTTGCCCATTAAATTTTGATACTTCTTATGCCTATGTAAAAACTGGTTCGATTGCATGGCTAAAAATAGCTTTCTCGGAAAATCAAAATTATAAAGAAGGCGAAATATATACGGTCGTCATCAGATGAAGAAATAAGTAGATCTGAACTTTAGTCAGATTGGGTTAGCAACAGACTTAATCAAGTTAATGGATTGGGAATTAATCTTTTGTTTCTGCATAGACATAGAAATCTTAAGGTTTGGTTTGTTTGTTTATGTGGGCATCCCATGTAAGGTTTTCTGATATATTCACGCCTGGGTATTTAGCTGAGGTAACTGATTCTAATTGGACTTCATGAAGGTAGTATTGTGTTGGGATAGGATGTTTGCTTTTTGTGATGTGGATAACTTAACACTTGGAAGTTGGAGGGTTAAATTCCATATCCCTCTCCAACTCCCTTTTTTCTTACAGATTTTAATTGTGACTGATTGGTTTGCAGATGTCAGAGCAATGTATATTGCAGTATTGTCTGCAAACAGGCGGACCTGGGAATTTATGTTTTGTGGGAGGTTATTTTTTGTGTAAGCAAGAAACAGGAGGGATCGTAGAACTGAGCCTAATGGGGGACACCTTAGGATACTGGGATCGGGTTTGAGCTGTTGCCATTTAGCACAACAAACTGCACCTGGTTATGTGGAAAACTTTAGATGCATCTTTAAGTTTGACCACTGATTTCATAGTTGTGTATTTTCAGCAGTACTTTCTCATGACTGCATGACCAGAATTTATAACCGGTACAGTATTATCAATCTTTATAAGTTATATATCTTGATCTAAATTATTAAAATTTATATAAACAGTTCACAGGACTTGTATAATGTTTTAAAATCTTTTTTTTTTCAGGTCAGACATTTCCAAAAGTTGGACAAACTGTGGTGCTACATTATACAGGTCAGTATTCCTTGTTACAAGATAATATTAATTGTCTTGGATTATTTCACACGACATGTAAAGATCATTAGTTGACTGATAAAAAAAATATAAAGTGCAGGGTGTCTGTTTGACCCTTGAAATGACTCTTTGACCCTTCAGATTTCAAAAAGACCTGATTTGACCCTCAGGCCCCGTGTTCACAAAGATTTAAGGATCAGGATCAAGATAAGGATCAAATTTAAAAACTCAAATATTCTCCATTATTTATCCTTATAGATTAAATATTCAGTATTAACTTAATAAAACTGGACTTGAGATAGCATGCTTATGAAATTTTAGAATGAATTTATTCTTATTTTTTACAAGATATGGGCATTTTACAGTTGATCCAAATTTTGATCTTGATCCTGAAATTGATCCTTATTTTGATACGATTATTTTTGTATTGTTTTGTTATTTGTTGATTTTTCCCCAAAATAGGTTGGTTTCTTTGCAAGTAAGCAATTATTTATATTCCGAATATGTACCATTTACTTCTAGCATAATACCATCAATTTTAGTTGTATAAAACAATGAAAATAAAATCAGGATCATCTGATCCTGATCCTGATCTTTTCTTTGTGAACACGGGGCCAGGATTTTAACTGGAGGGTCAAATTTTGTTAAAAGCATGGGGATTTGGCCTTGTATCTGGTCAAAATGACCCTCAGGATTTTATGGTTAGTGAACACACTTAGTGTGAAAAGTGACAAACAAAGACATGTCACATTTTTGTGAACAAATAGCTTGACATCACTTAAACATTGCATGTTAAAAACAGCAGCATTCGTAGGTATGATGTTACTGAAGTTTCAAACGGTGCCATTTTTCCATCCAAAAAGAAGCTTCACATTGGAAGGCATTTTTGTTCACTATTGGAAGGTAACATGACATTACACAAACCATTACCACAAGGTATGACTAGCAGTGGTTTGTTGACATTGTTCAACAATGGAATCATTGTCATCGATGTGTTCATCAATGGAATCATTGTAATTGATGTGTTCAACAATGGAATCATTGTCATCGATGTGTTCATCAATGGAATCATTGTCATCGATGTGTTCATCAATGGAATCATTGCCATCAATGTGTTCGTCAATGGAATCATTGTCATCGATGTGTTCATCAATGAAATCATTGTCATTGATGTGTTCAACAATGGAATCATTGTCATCGATGTGTTCATCAATGGAATCATTGCCATCAATGTGTTCATCAATGGAATCATTGTCATCGATGTGTTCATCAATGAAATCATTGCCATTGATGTGTTCATCAATGGAATCATTGTCATTGATATGTTCATCAATGAAATCATTGCCATTGATGTGTTCAACAATGGAATCATTGTCATTGATGTGTTCATCAATGGAATCATTGCCATTGATGTGTTCAACAATGGAATCATTGTCATTGATGTGTTCATCAATGGAATCATTGCCATCGATGTGTTCATCAAAGGGATCATTGCCATTGATGTGTTCAACAATGGAATCATTGCCATCGATGTGTTTATCAAAGGGATCATTGCCATCGATGTGTTCAACAATGGAATCATTGCCATTGATGTGTTCAATAATGGAACCATTGCCATTAATGGTTTCAACAATAAAATCATTGCCATTGATATTTTCAACAATGGAATCATTTTCATTGATGTGTTCAACAATGGAACCATTGCCATTAATGGTTTCAACAATAAAATCATTGCCATTGATGTTTTCAACAATGGAATCATTCTCATTGATGTGTTCATCAATGAAATCATTGCCATTGACGTGTTCATCAATGAAATCATTCTCATTGATGTGTTCAACAATGGAATCATTGCCATTGCTTGTTTAACAATGGAATCATTGTCATTGATGTGTTCAACAATGGAACCATTGCCATTGATGTGTTCAACAATGGAACCATTGCCATTGATGTGTTCAACAATGGAACCATTGCCATTGATGTGTTCAACAATGGAATCATTGTCATTGATGTGTTCATCAATGAAATCATTGCCATTGATGTGTTCATCAATGAAATCAGTACCATTGCTTGTTCAACAATGAAATCATTATCATTGATGTGTTCAACAATGGAACCATTGTCATCGATGTGTTCATCAATGGAATCATTGCCATTGGTGTGTTCAACAATGGAATCATTGCCATTGATGTGTTCAACAATGGAATCATTGCCATTGATGTATAAAGTGCAAGGGACATTATTTTTAGAAAAGATAAACAGCTTCCTTCGTAGTAGTCTGCCACATGATGCTTATTCCTTAAACAACCTCAGAATCTTACAATAGCAGCAGGAGACATAGTAACTATTCTGTTTATGTGTAATATTTCAAAAGTCATTTGTAATATTTTGTAAGAATATTCAGGAGAAATTCCCATTTATGTATTATATTATTTTGTACACAAAAGCTTGATATCAGGGACAACAAAAATCTATGTTCTTTTGGGTCATCCATCATATGACCAACTTTGTACTTTATTTCTAAAACAGATTTAAATTTAAGGGGTATATGATATTGTCTTGTTTTTAGTTACAGTGTTTTCATTAATTTAAATAGCAATTTTAATATGATATTTTTCAGGAAGATTACAAAATGGTCAAATATTTGACTGTTCAAGGGAAAGAAAGCAACCATTTAAGTTTGTTCTGGGAGAAAACCAGGTTATAAAGGGTAAATATTTAGGATTGGTATATAAAACATTATAGAAATGTAGAATCTACTTCATGTTAACATGCATATAAAACATTAAGGAAACATAGATACTATTAGATATGAAATATACAAAACTCTACATTTTTTAAATCTCCCTTTATAATAATCATGCATTAATTATGCTAGTCTAGAGAATAACTTAAAAAGTTCTTACAGTAAATTATGTTTTGCCTATAAGTTTTGTGTATTTACTGATGTATATTTTGAATGTTGTTTTTATTTTTTGTTATTTCAGCATGGGAAGAGAACGTAAAAAAGGTAATTCTATTTTAATTATGTCTCCCCCACCTCGGGGGGAGACATATTGTTTTTGCCCTGTCCGTCCGTCAGTCCGTCAGTCCGTCCGTCCATTCTTCGTTTCCGGACGATAACTAGAGTTCCTTTTGACCTACAGCTCTCAAACTTCATAGGATGAATGGTCTTATTGAGCAGATGATCCCTATTGTTTTTGGGGTCAGTAGTTCAAAGGTCAAGGTCACAGTGACCGTTGGTCAATTTCTCGTTTCCGGATGATAACTAGAGTTCCTTTTGACCTACAGCCCTCAAACTTCATAGGATGATTGGTCTTATAGAGCTGATGATCCCTATTGTTTTTGGGGTCAGTAGGTCAAAGGTCAAGGTCACACTGACCGTTGGTCAATTTCTCGTTTCCGGATGATAACTAGAGTTCCTTTAGACCTACAGACCTCAAACTTCATAGGATGATTGGTCTTATTGAGCAGATGATCCCTATTGTTTTTGGGGTCAGTAGTTCAAAGGTCAAGGTCACAGTGACCGTTGGTCAATTTCTCGTTTCCGGATGATAACTAGAGTTCCTTTTGACCTACAGCCCTCAAACTTCATAGGATGATTGGTCTTATAGAGCTGATGATCCCTATTGTTTTTGGGGTCAGTAGGTCAAAGGTCAAGGTCACAGTGACTGTTGGTCAATTTCTCCATTTCCATTCCTGTTTCCATTCACAGTTATTCTCAGCAGTGGGGGAGACATGCGCTTTTTTACAAAAGCATCCTCTAGTTTTTTTGTTTTTTTTTGTAGCAAGAAAATAAATTATTGACTTGTGGGTTTGCATTCACCGTAACCATGATGGAACCAAAGTGATTTACCTTTGCCACATGTGTAGAGCCACGCCAGCAGACTAACCTGGACTGACTAACTTATAGGCACATAGTGTCTTTGAAAAAAGTTTGTTTACTTCTTTAAAAAGTGCAAACATAAATTTTATAATGTTTAAATAATGGTCTGAGAGAATGTTAAATGCTTGTTACCTGAATAAATTAGTGATAAATGTGAAGTAATATGTCATAAAAGTAGCAAAATCTAAGCAAAGTAGTATTTTGACATCCATACAAAATGTTTATTCACTAACTGTACTTGCACATGAAAAAGATTGTTCAGGTAAAATTGACCGATGAATAACTTGTTGGATACATCAAATTTACTTTTGTAAAAAAAGCATTTCTGAGGCATAATGGGCCTTTAAATGTTAATTTTGATATCCCCAACATTGATAATGGACAGTTTTTAAGTAAATGAAAGATGAGCAAGTCCATTTTAGAAAATCAGTAGGTTATGGGTTAAAGAATGTATTTCAATTGATTAAATTTAGAAAGCAAAATTGAAGATTTCAGATGAATGAGAATTATTGTTTGTGCAATACATACTGAATGCCTGTTATGATCAAACTGTAAATCAGATCTCTATACTTTTTGTACAAACAGTATAGTAATACAGTCAGATACTGAAAAAGGTTCATAGTCATTATTCTCAGAATATTATGTTCAAAGAATTATCAGATATCAGTAAAATATTAAGATTGCAGAACAAGATTCAATCCAATACACAAAACAAGATCACATGAATGTTATAAGCAAAAACATGCTTTTACTGATGTTGAATTAATACAAATGTAGTTTGTTATTTGATAAAAAAAATATTATGTTGTAAAACTTTTGTTTCTATATATCATTTCAGATGAGTATAGGTCAACAAATAAAATTAACTTGTCCACCAGACTATGCATATGGAAAAAGAGGCTACCCTGGCGTATATCCTTTTTTCTGAGATTGAAGTTTTATTATATAAATAATTAAAGGTAACCCTGTTTTTATCTAGCAGTGTTAATTCTAAAGCAAATTGTTAGTATGGGGTATTTCACTTAATTTTACTAAAAAAAAAATTTTACTATAAGTAGTCAACAATATAAAATACGGTAAGATGATAACAAAAGTAAGGTATGTCCAGAGCAACAGATAAGCTTTTAAAGTGAATTGGGTATTCCCCATCATTTCCTTTGGAATTGGGTATTGGCTCTATTTCATTGGGTATTCCAAAACTCGTTACCCTATGATTGGTATTCAATTCATGATATGAATTTTATGGTTTCAATATCAATAAAATTTAAACTGTTTCAAAAAGAAAATAGGATTAACAATTTACTAAGACTTTTCACAATTGTTTTATTTTTTATATAAACTGCTCATGTTATATTTCATAGTATTTTTAACAAGTTCGTTTTCTGACTGATTTTTGATTATTTACAACTGTTTTGTTTCAAATCATTTTCCCTTTTGTACGACGCCATAATGCTTTCAAAGCGTCTATTGATACAGCTGGGACCTACTTATTGACGGTCTCCGCAAAATCAACGGTCTCTGCTGGTCTGTAAAGACCGTCGACCTGAGTAGACAAATCGACGGTCTCATGCTTTATTGATATGGCTTAGTCTTTGGAGACCGGGGACCGTCGAAGACCGGAGACCGTTGTTTAGTTAGCATTAATTCGGGAATATTCGGATAGCATACATATCGATATAATTTGTCCAAAACTACAAGCATACGACAGATTAATTTGGCTGTGATGAAAATGACAATACGCACGAGTTTTTAAGACAATTGCGTATTTTGCTTTTTTTAATGGGTTTTGATACGCATTCTTAAAAAATCAATTGCGTATTTTATAAAATTAATTGCGTAAATACGCAAATACGCACCTTATCTGGTGCTCTGTATGTCTGATAACTCTAAAATGATGGCATGGTAGACTTGTCATTATTACTGCCAAAGAAAATCTAAATAATTCTTACAGGTCTTTATAGGCAGTTATTAAATTTACTTAAGGTCATTTGCCTTACTTAAGGGTATTGGCCCTGTACAATTGTCCAAAGCGTAAATGTCCAATTGAAGTTCACGATTACGTAATTCCTAGTCCACCTTACGCTTATACATTGCTTAGAGTGAGTTTCTGATTTGAAACAAGTGACAACTGTTTTTGTTTAAAAAGGAGATATAATTTCATGAAAACTAATTAAGCCAACTAGTACTGGGATCACTAGTGTTTGAAATGAGCATCAATATCCATAATATGAACAAAACATCTAGTAAGTTACATGATATATTTACATTAATAGCTACAATTTTTGAAGAAAAAAAGCAGAGCTATTGTCATGATCCACTATGCCATTAAGACTTCTCTATCAGCAGTTGAGCATTTGATAATAAGAGAAGGCCAGGTTTTGGCCCCTGGTTGTGGTGGCCCTTGTTTTAAGGAATAAAAGCTGTTTGCAGGGTTAGTTATCACATTCAGTGATTGTTCTAGTTTTCATAGTTTTGTCTTCCTTTACTGTGTCAGGTGTTTAATAAAATTAGTTGTGTATGCTATCTCCTCTCACTTATGTTTAAGTTATAGTTGCAAAAAATATTTAATTTCACATTTTGAATAGAATTAAGCATTACATTTACATGATACAATATTTAGCTTAACATAAGCCACTATACCTGCAAATGCGACATTGATATTTGACTTAGAATTACTAGCACTAGAGCAAACTTCAAAATGAACAGAAATACAAATGTGACATCATCAACATCATGTTAACTTCTAACATACAGTCAGAATATGCCAAATGACAGACAGAACACCACGCGTTGACCCAGCCATTCATCTGCATATCGGCTAAAACAATGTGGTTTGTGTTTGTACTGATTTTTTTATCATTTCTTCTACAACCTGTGCTTGTATTCATGTTTTCAAAATGATCAACATGAGGTTATTCCAGGTAATATTATTCAAGGAGATAATATGAGGATATTCAAAGAAATATTCAGGGAAATAAAATATGGATATTTTTTAGGAATGATTAACATTTAAGATATTTTAGGAAATAATCAACATATGGATGTTCCGAGAAAATCCTGGAAATTATAAATATGAGGATATTTCAGGAGAAAATCAATATGAGATTATTCCAGGTAATCAGCATAAGGATTTTCAGGAAATAACATGAAGATATTTCATGAAATGATCAGCGTGAGGATATTCCAGGAAATTACCAATGGACATAATCAGCATGAGGATTTTCCAGGAAATAATCAACATGAGGATATTCCAGGAAATAATCAATATGGGGATATGGATATTCCAGGAAATAATCAGAATGAGGATATTCCAGGAATTAATCAACATGGGGATATTCCAGGAAATAATCAGAATGAGGATATTAATGCAAAGAACATGAGGATATTTCAGGAAATAATCAACAGGAGTATATTCCAGAAAATAATCAATATGAGGATCTTCAGAATGTTATTAGAAGTGATCAGCATGAAAAGTTCTGAAAGAAGTAACCAACATAGAGATATTTGTATATGGTATTCAAATTTTTATATGACACTTACAGAATGTTTTTGTAGTCTGTTACTGATAAAAAATGTTATAATATTAGTACAAATGAACAATACAAGTTACCTGTACCACAAGAGACAGCTGGTCTGAATCATGTTGGAACATATAACTGGCTATGGTTAGACTATGTTAACATAGTGTTTGTATTAATTTGGTGAAATTCTTTAGGGCATCATTCATTTTACAGTGTGAGTGAATTTCATTTTTATTTTCTAAATTTAACCTAATTTGTCTTACAACTTTTGTTTGAAATCATTTTTGTTATTTTAATTTTGTCATTGTCATTGAATAATAATATTTGTATGTATTTTTTTTATATAAAGCCAATTATTTATGTAACTTGATAGTGTTTTAATATTAAGTCTTTATATTGTGTTGGAAAGGACTACTTACATTCTGCAAGTAAGTTTGGTCAACTAGCAGTGGATATAATAGATATTTAAGCAAGTGAAAGGGCATTTTAAAGGCGAAAAAACGCTATCATAACTTGAAATCATGTAGGGGCATAGCATTGGTGTGCCAGTTGTAAGTCTAGAACAACTACTAGGATATAGTTTGGAGTTTTTAATAAATGTTTTTGCGTGTTAACCACAACAAAGATATATGGCCTGTAATATTTGTAATTTTCCCAAAACATTAAACCAGTAAAGATATGGCAATGATTTGAATTTTATTTTTTTCTATGTCAATTTGTATAATTTTATTTTCATTTAATTCATACAGACATATAATATGGTTTAATTATAACATGTTAATATACATGTATATATTTATGACTTGTCAATGAAATTGTGTCTTTGTTAATGTTACTAAATTTATAATTTGGGGACTGTTTCTAAATGTTTTCAATTTATAGTAGTCTTGACTGTTACCTTGTCGTCGACATGCCAACCTCAATCCCGACACATGCAATTTTGCATACATAAGGATCATATGTAAGATGTTATTGTTATAAATCATTGACCTAAGCTTTGATGGCCATTTGTATTTTATAGTTAAGGTGCAACAGTTAATTCCAGTCAAATAAATAAAAAATGATTAAGTCCTTGGATATTATTAAGCATGTACATGTAGTTTATGAGAAAACGGATGAGAAAAATGAAGTACCACTGTAAACACTAGGACCATCCTATTTCAGAAGTTATTGCCCTTGAATTGATAGGATAAAACACCTACAGAAATATGTGTGTCCACTGACATTCCTAAGAAACAATGATAAAGTCTAGACAAATATTATCAAGATACTTCATAGAACTGGTGTTTGTGGGGTTTTTTAATTAGCATTTTTGCATTTTGTTCATTCATTTAATTTATTTTACATGTTATTTGTTTGTTTGACATAAGTTACATACAATTTGCACAAAGTCTTTAGTTTTGACTGAATGAATAATGCATCCTATAGCAGAGCTGTTGTGAAAACATGCAGTGAATTATAGTTCATAAAGTTATTTGAGCCGCGTCATGACAAAACCAACGTAATGCGATTGCGACCAGCATGGATCCAGACCAGCCTGCGCATCCGCGCAGTCTGATCAGGATCCATGCTGTTCCCTTACAAACTCTATTACAAATAGAGAAACTGATAGCGAACAGTATGAATCCTGATCAGACTGCACAGGCTGGTCTGGATCCATGCTGGTCACAAACGCATTACGTTGGTTTTGTCATGACGCGGCTCATTTAATTTTATGCTAAGCCAGTAAGATTCTGTTCTTTGTTTTTTCTTTGTGATAAAATTCATATCACTCACAGTACAGCTCTGCCAATCTATTTTTAGCTCACCTGAGCATGCTCAAGGTGAGCTTTTAGGATCGATGATTGTCCGTCGTCCGTTCACATTTTGTTGTTAACACTCCAGCGGTCGCATTTTCGCCTCAATCATCATCAAACATGGTCACGATGTTTGTCTAGGTGATAGCTTGGATGAGTTTGAACATGGGTCATCTCGGATGAAAAACAAGGTCACCGGAGCTAAAAATAGAAAAACCTTGTTAACACTCTAGCGGTCACATTTTTGCCTCAATCATCATCAAACTTGGTCAGGATGCTTGTCTAGGTGATAGCTCGGATGAGTTCGAACATGGGTCATCTCGGATGAAAAACTAGGTCACTGGAGCTAAAAATAGAAAAACCTTGTTAACACTCCAGCGGTCACATTTTTGCCTCAATCATCATCAAACTTGGTCAGGATGCTTATCTAGTTGATAGCTAGGATGAGTTCGAACATGGGTCATCTCGGATGAAAAACTAGGTCACAAGAGCTAAAAATAGAAAAACCTTGTTCGAACATTGGTCATCTCGAATGAAAAAGTAGGTCACAAGAGCTAAAAATAGAAAAACCTTGTTAACACTCTAGCGGTCACATTTTGGCATCAATCATCATCAAACTTTGTCAGGAAGCTTGTCTAGGTGATAGCTCGGATG